TGTATGTGTCCAGAAAAGAGTTATATCCTTTCTCCATACCTATTCAATCTTTATTCTGAGCCAATTATTTGTCTTTTCAGTCATTAGCTTTGCATCTGAGAGCTGGACTATGACTAAGGATTACAGAAGAATAGTTACATTTGAGTTGTGGTGTTGCAGAAGAGTGCCGAGTCTCCATGGACTGCCAATAGAACAAAAGTACCTTGGAAAAAGTGAAGTTAGAGTGCTCCTTGGAGGCAAGGATGGAAAAACTTAGTCTCGCATTCTTTGGACATGTTTTTCAGAGAAGCTAGTCTTTGGAAATTGACATTGTTCTTAGAAAGGTAGAGGAGGGTCAGTGAAAAAGGAGGATACTTAACAAGATGAATTGATTGACAAAGTGACTCCAGTAATGGACTCAGCAGAGATGATGAAGAGCACATAGGCTAGAATAGGATTCAGATCTGTTGTTCATAGGGTTACTATGAGTCTCAATATGAGTCATACTCAACTGGACAGCCTGGACAGCACCTAACAAAAACAAAGTGAAATAAACTTAGCATTTCTGTGACAAACAAGTTGGTTATGATGTGTTATAACTTTTTATCCATTATTAGCTTCCATATGCAATTTTTTTTTGTTTTGTATTTGAGTCTAATATTTTTAAACTTTCATTATTATTTTAAAGTTTATAGAGCAAACTGGTACTCATATTCCACTTAATAATTCATAAATACTTTATTTTATGAAGAATAGAGTTAATTTAATGCTTTAGATTGGCCCATTAGTTTTTATTTAAATACTGTTTTTAATTCTTGGCTTTGTGATGCAACTTGGAAAAAATAGTATTTGAAGATGTTATCAGTTATTATTGTTGTTAGGTGCTATCTAGTCACCTATGACTTAAAATGACTTTATAAACAACAGATCTGACTCTTGCCCAATTCTGTGATACCCATTTGATATCTGATATACTTGAGACCATTGTTACAGTCATTGTGTCAATTTATCTTGTTGGAGGTTGTCTTCTCTTTCTCTAACCCTTCACTTTTCCTAGCATGATGACTGGCTCCTGGACTGGCTCCTGACAACATCCCGAAGTTGTAAAACAAAGATTTCACTGTCTGTATCTCTACAGGGCACTCTGGTTGCACTTCTTTCAGGAGTCATTTGTTTTTTTGACAGTTCATGGGACCGTGGAACACACCACCAACTACTTATATGCAAGTTCAAGCTGAAGCTGAGGAAAATTAAACCGAATCCATGGGAACCAAAATATGACTTTTAGTTCATCGCACTTGAATTTCAGAACCATCTCAGGAACAGAACACTAATGAGCGAAGACCTAATGAGTTGTGGGAGGATGTCAAGGTTTCATCCAGGAAGAGTGCAAATGGTCATTACAAAGGCAGAAGCAACTCTGAAGATTGCACTGGAGCGCAGAGAAGCCAAAGCACAAGGAAGAAGTCAAGATACTAAAGAGCTGAACTGAAGATTCCAAAAGGCAGCAGGGGATGACAAAGCAAATATTTACAATGAAATGTGCAAGGAGCTGGAGTCGGAAAATCAAAAGGGCCAAACTTGTTCAGCATTTCTTTTTTTTCCCCTCCAGCTTTCTATAATTATATTTTATTAATTTTCATAAACATTTACAGAGATTTTGGGTTTCCATTCATTCATTGTTGCATTATTGTTCAGCATTTCTTAAGCTCAAGGAACTGAAGAACAAATTCAAACCTCGAGTTGCTATAATCAAGGATGCTTTAGGCAGAATATGAAATGATCCAGGAAGTATTAAAAGAAGATGGAAAGAATATACTGAGTCACTGTAGCGAAAGGAATTGGCAGACACAGAAGAATTTAATGAAATAACATTATGAGCAAGAGCCTATGGTGATGAAGGAAGAAGTTCAGGCTGCTTTGAAGGAAATAGCAAAAAACAAGGCCCCAGGAATAGATGATATACCAATTGTCATATTTCTGCTAACAGATATTGCCCTGGACATGCTCACCAAGTTGTGCCAAGAAATCTGGAGAACAACCACTTGGCCAACTGACTGGAAGAGATCTATATTTGTTCCCATCCCAAAGAAGGGTGACCCAACAGAGTGTTGAAACTATAGAACAATATCATTTATTTCACATGCAAGCAAGATTTTACTGAAGATTATCCAAAACGACTGGAACAGCCCATCAGCGGAGAACTGCCAGATGTCCAGGCTGGGTTTAGAAGGAATTGTGGTACTAGGGATATTGTAGCTGATGTTAGATGGATCTTAGCTGAAAGTAGGGAATACCAGAAGAATGTCTATCTGTGTTTCATTGACTATTCAAAGGCATTTGACTGTGTGGATCATAACAAACTGTGGCTGACTTTGAGAAGAATAGGAATCCCAGAACACTTGATTGTGCTAATGTGAAACCTATACTTGGACCAAGAGGCAGTCGTCAGAACAGAGCAGGGAAACACTGCATGGTTCAAAATTGGGAAAGATGTACGCCAGGGATGTGTCCTATCTCCATACCTTTTCAACCTGTATGCAGATTATCTGAGAGTCCGGGCTCTGTGAGGAGAAGTGTGGCGTCAGGATTGGTGGAAGATGTATTAACAATCTGCTTTATGCAGATGACACAATCCTGCTTGCTGAAACTGAGGAGGACCTGACATGCTTGCTGCAGCGGGTCAAGGACTTCAGCCTTCAGTATGGATTGAGGCTCAATGCCAAGAAGACAAATATTCCCATCACTGCATCACTGGACCAGTTGGCCGCATCAGGATGGATGGTGAAGAGATTGAGATTGTTCACAGCTTTAGTCTCCTTGGCTCCATGGTCAACACTCTTAGCACCAGTAGCCAGGAAATTAAAATATGTATTGCGATGGAAAAGTCTGCTGTTTGGGACCTCTCCAGGGTACTGAAGAGCAGTGGTGTTACTCTGGAGACCAAGGTGCATCTCTGATACAGGCTATGGTCTTTGCAATCCTTTGTCATGCATCGGAGAGTTGGACAATGGCTAGGGAGGATAGAAGGAGAATTGATGCCTTTGAGCTGTGTTGCTGGAGAAAAGTATTGAATGAACCATGGACTGCCACGAAAACAAATTCAATCTGGAGAGGGCTAAACCAGGCTGCTCCTTGGAGGCAAGGATTCTGGGGCTTCCTCTGACATACTTTGGACATGTTTTAAGGAGGGACAGGTCCTTGGAGAGGGACATCATGCTTTGGAGGGTGGAGGGACGGCGCAAGAGGGGAAGACCCTGTATGAGTTGGATTGATTCAGTGACTGGGGTAATCAGAATGGGTGTGTCAGAGGCAGTAGACACAGGATAGAGCAGGATTTAGGGCTGTTGTACATAGGGTCGCTATGAGTTGCAAGCGACTCAATGGCACATAACAACAACCCTAAAACTACAACTCAAAGAGATCTGTTCTTCTTTTGCCATCCTAATACATTGTCCAACTTTCATTGAACCACATTTATGCATAGGAAATGATTGAGACCACCATAGCTTGGGTCAGATGCACATAGATTTTTAAACTGGTACTGTTGCTTTTTAGCACTTTGGAGAGATTTCTGACAGCAGAATTTCCCAGTGTAATGTGTCTTGATTTCTTGATTGCTATTCCCACCGGTGGTTTTTTTTTTTTTTGGATCCTAGTCAAAGTAACTGGCAACTTTAGTCTATTCTCCATATGTTATAATGTTGTGTATTGGTGAAGTGACAAAGATTTTTGTTTTCTTGATATTGAAATGTAATCCATATTGAAGGCTGTAGTCAATAACCTTCTGCAGCAAGTATTTCAAGTCTTCTTCACTTTGAACAAGGAAGGTTGTGTCATCTGCATAATACAAGTTGTTGATGAGTATTTCTGCAATCTTGATACCACCTTCTTTTTTTTTTTTGATACCACCTTCCTAAGAGTCCAACTTCTTGAATGATTTGTTCAGCATTGAACAAATTGAATAAAATGCATACAACCCTGATAAACACCTTATTTCTTTGTTCTATTTGGACAACAGGTTCTTAATGTAGGTATAGGCTAGGTTAACATGAAATCTTACTAGCATTCTCTATATAATTTAAATCTTTTAACATTTAGTGAGCTTTTGGCTTTTTTAAAACAATCTATGTGGTTTGAAGAAGATATTCTACTTTTTTTGACAACAAAAGGAGCTTTTTATTTAAAGTTATAACTGGATAAGTAGATTTGTTTACAACCATTCTTGTGAAATAAGATACTCTACTTTCAACACTTAATGTATTTACATTCTGCTTTGATCTCTTGAAAGCAGTAAGAAGTTAGAATATTAATCTAACTTTTTGCCTTTTAATGAAAATATTTAATTTATTTATTTACATTTAACAGGATATTTAACTATAACTGTGATCGATTGACACAGTAACTAGTGTAATAGAGGTAGGTGTGTTGGAGTCAGACTGGCTCAGGATAGGACAGAGTTCAGACCTATTGTTCACAAGGTTGTTATGTGTCACAGGTGACTTGATGGCACATAGGAAAAACATGATCTTGATGCCTTTGAGTTATAGTATTGGAGAGAAGTGCTGAATATCACATAGACTGCCAAAATAAAAAAACAGGTATGTCTTGGAAAAAGTGTAGCCATAGTGTCCTTGGAAGCAAAGATGGCAAACTTTGTCTTTCATACTTTGGGCATGTTGTTAGCAGAGACTGTTCCTCGGAAAAGACCATCATGCTTCGAAAGATGAATAGTCAGCAAGAGAGAGGAAGATCTTCAATGAGATGGTTTAACACAGTGACTGCTGCTGTGGCTCAGATATGTCAGCGATGATGAGAATGACACAAGATAAGACAGGGTTAGGGTTAATTTTGTGTTTTATTATTTTAGTAACGGTAATGTCAAAGCTGTTATTAGTTAATCTGGATAATTATATGAGACAGATTGCTACTTTTTATGGTAACTACTTATAATTGAATAACCTATATGAATGATTCTTTTAATTTCAAATCTTTATATATTTTAGGAAATCAGTGTTAATATGGAGGATGATTTCAAGTCTGAGTCATCATCTTCCTTTGCACTTCAAGGCTCTACAGAGACATTGTTTTCTATTCAGCTATTAGATTTCAAAACAAGTTTGCTGGAAGCTTTGGAAGAATTACGTATGAGAAGGGTAAGCACTTTAAAAAGAAATACTTCTAATGAGAACTTCATTTTGTTTAAGTATTAGATCTTGCATTCCAGTAAAGTTTCCAGGGGGGAAAAAAAGCTTAACAAAATATTTACCTATTTAAAAAGAAGAAATATAGTCCAAAAATATAAACTAGGTCTATGATCAGGAAATGGGAAATAAGAATAATTTGGAAGTTAAATTAAAAAGAAAATGGACTTTCATATTGTTAAATATTTAACAAGTTCATTGGTATTTGCATTCTTAGGATTTTACGGTGACTGATAAAAAGAGGTACTCTTCTAGAGATGGTGTTTTTGCAAAATATGAGCTTCTCACACACATTTACACTCACACTCATTGCTGTTGATTTAGAGCCACCTTATACTTGATCCTCCATTGAGTTCTCAGAGACTGTAAATCACGTGGAAGGAGATTGCTGTTCAGTTTCAACGGATGTGTGTTGTGAAAAACTTTCTGTGATATGTTCTTTCTGTGGCCTTGCTATTGGGGGGTATCAAAGCCAGTGTCAAATGGATTATGGCTGAAAGCAGAGAGTACCAGGAGAATGTCTGGTCTATGTTACATTGACTATGCAAAGACATTTAATTGTGTAGATTACAACAAATTGTGTCTAACCTTGAGAAGCATGGGAATCCCAGAACACTAGATTGTGCTCATGTGAAACCTATACCTGGACCAGAAAGCACTGTGAGAACAGAGGCAGGAACTGCCTGGTTAAAAATCAGGAAATGAGTAATGGGAATGTAAAATGAAACCACTTTGAAAAGAGGGGCAGTTTATTTATTTTTTTTTAAAAGATCTATTTGAGTGAAAATTTATAAATCTCAGGGATTTTTGGTTTTTTTTTTCATTTTTTAGATTGTCATTTTACTGCTCCCCACTGTAGTTCCCCACACACTCACTCTCCCTTTTTTGCTGTCTATAGTTTGCAGGCCATGGGGGAACAAAGCTGGGTCTGGCGCCCCCAAGATGCTGCCTGCGGGGGAGAACAAGTCACAGTTACAAATTATCACAATTAGTGTCTGCACTTGGGTAATTGGCAGAGTGAGGAGGCCCAGTTCCTCGTTGTAAGCTGGTCTATTTGGTGGTGACCATGCTCTGGAGACGATGATATTCCTTCAGCCTGATGGAGTTGATGTTGATGAAGCCAGTGGCATCAAATTGGTTCATAATCTCCTTGCACGTTCATGCTCACTAGCTCCTCATTGTAGAGGTTAAGTGGGGACTCCCGGTCGAGGATGTACACCTGGCCTTTGAAGACAGACACCTGCACCTTTCCTTCCACCTGTTCCTGTGACTTGGCAATGCAGTGGCGAACAAACTCACACTCAGGGCTGTGCCAGAAACCAGTGTACACCAGCTCAGCGAATTTCAAGTCCAGGCCTTGTTTGATTTTGCACACTTCCCGATCCATCGTGAAGGCCTCGATGTCTAAATGAGCATGGTAAAGATCGTGCCTGCTGGGGTCTCATAGATACCTCGGGACTTAATTCTAATGAAGTGGTTCTCCACGATGTCAGTGTGACCCACACCATGCTTGCCAGCGACCTCATTCAGGTACATGAAGAGCTCCAAGGATGTGTGGTGGGTGGTACCATCCTTGACGTTTGTCACCTGCATGGGGACCCCTTTTTTGAACTGGATCTCAAGGATGTCAGGGGTGTTAGGGGCCTTGGCAGGGTCCTGGGTCTTTGTGTAGAGGCCTGGAGGTGCTTGGTTCTTGGGGTTCTCCAGGATTCCAGCCTCATAGCTGATGTGCATGAGGTTCTCGTCCATGCTCCATGGGCTCTTGAGGGTGACCGGAATGGGGATTCCGTGTTGCTTCTCATACTCCATCAGATCATTGCAGCCCTTGAACCGGTTGTAGAACTTTGGCATTCTCCAGGGGGCAATGACCTTAATCTGTGGGGCCAGTGAGTAGCAGGTGAGCTCAGACCTGACCTGATCATTTTCCTTTCCCTGGGAGCCATGAGACACATACTTCGCTCCCTCCCTCTGGGCGATTTCCACTTGTTTGCGGGTGATGCAGGGCCTGGCGAGAGAGGTACCCAGGAGGTAGCGATCCTCGTACAGCGTGCTAGACTGGACAGCGGGCCAGATGAATTCCTCCACAAACTCCTTGCTGACATCCTCATTGAACACCTTTTTGGCTCCGAGCTTCAGGGCCTTCTTCCTGGATTCCTCAAAGTCTTCCTTCTGACCAGTGTTGGCGAGGTAGGCAATGGCATCCTAGCCTTGTTCCTTCAGCCACACCAGGATGCAGGAGGTGTCCAGGCCCCCGCTGTAGGCCAGAACCACAGAGCCCCTGCTGGACATCTTTTCTGAAATTGGTGGTGTAGGTTTCCCGCTTCAGGAATTTCAGTGAACCACTCGAGGTCCAGGCGCTGGTGGCAGGCAGCGGAGCAGGGACGACAGCTGTGTGCATCCAGGAGTATAAGTGCCAGGCCCCAGGTTTTTTTAATATATCATTTGTAGGAAATAATTACTATTAAATGATGCAATTAATTTATTCCAGTGTCTTCACAAATCCTTATTGCATATTGCTGTTCTCTCCGTTCACCTTCTCTGTTCATTTTTTCTTTTCTTCTCACTCCCTGCCTTCAGTTTAGTGTATATTCTGTTCCAGATTATTGATTGTAATACCAAGATAATGCCTGATCGTCAGTTCATTTTCAATTGACCTTTTTCTTTGCCTATTCCAATACAAGAGTTATCTAAAGAGGATAAAATTGATGCATGGGGCCTTCTGAAGATTGAATCTCTATGCACATAAAAAACTTTTCCCAAGAGGGTGAAAAGAAAACCTACATTCTGGGAACAAACATTTGATAATTCCATCTTAGGCAATAGTGTTATAACAAAAGTTTACAGAATACTCCTGGGCCTCCACAAGAAAAAGACTGATAACCCAATTACAAAATGGGCAAAAGACATGGGAAGAATTTTCACAGAGGAAGATATTCGAATGGCAAACAGACACATGAAGAAATGCTCCAAATCACTGGCAATAAGAAGATGCAAATCAAAACCACAATGAGATACCATCTCACTCCACTAAGTGTCAACTTTTACAGGGCAGCAAGTAATAGATGCTGGAGAGGATGTGTGGAGAAAAGAATTCTTTTTTAAAAATTTTTTAAAATATTTTATTGTATTTTGTGTGTGTACCGTCAAATCAGATCTGACTAGTACAGGAGGAGATTGCCCCTCCTTCTCCAGCAGAGCATCTGGTGGATTTGAACCATGTGCCTCTGGGATTGCAGTGCAGCTTCTTGCCACTAGGCCACCAGAGCTCACTTGAGAAAGGAATTCTTATACATTGTTGGTGGGATTGTAAAATGGTGCAAGCATTCTGGAAGACAGTTTGGTGCTTCTTCAAAAAGCTGAACATAGAAATTCCATATGACCCGACTATTCCACTACTTGGAATATACCCTGAGAAAATGAGAACTGAGGCACAGACAGAGATTTGTACACCAGTGTTTATAGCAGCATTATTCACCATCTCAAGGACATGGAAACAACCCACATGTCCAGCCACAAGTGGATTGAGAAGTTATGGTACATTCACACAGTGGAATACTATGCAGCTCGCAGGAACAATAACTGTAAATTATTACCTAAGTTGAGAGGGACTGGCGAGCATTATGCTGAGTGAACTAACTTAGTCACATAAGGATAAATATTGTATAAAGCTATTATTTTAGAATGAGTCTAAGGATCTAGGAGGGGTGGGAGAGGCTGGAAGCAGAGGGATGTGGATGTGCAGGGGGAAGAGGGAATTAGTCATTGGATTGTACAATTTGATGGGGGGCTGAGGGAAATTGAAAGAATTTGTTCAAATTTGTGTTTGAGTTTTGTAAATAAACTACTATTAATATAAAAAAATAAAAAAACCCCAAACACAACAAAAAGGTTATCTATTCTTTTCCTTCTCTCCCTGTCACACTTCTCCCCACTGCCTCTTAGTCATCCTATTTTTATAACTTATACAGTATTTGTCCTTTTGTCATTGAGTTATTTCATTCAGCATGATGTCCTCTAGGCTCATCCGTGTTGTGTAATGGTTCACGAATTTATTTTTTCCCCCAAGCCACATTATATTGCATTGTGAGAATGTGCCACTGTTTCTGTAGCCATTCCTTTGATGACAGGCACTTGAGTTACTTCCATCTCTTTGTTAATGTGAATAATGCTGCAATAAACGTAGATGTGCATACACTTGTTTGTGTCGCAGCTCTGAGTTCTATCAGGTATATTCCCTGTAGTGGAATAATTGGATCAAATGATATTTCTCTCTTTAGTTTTTTTTTTTAAGTCTCTTCACTTTTTTGAGGAATCGCCGGAATGTCTTCCATAGTGATTTTACCATTTTACATTTCCACCAGCAGTGCAGGGAGTTCCAGTTTCTCCACATCTTTACTAACCATTGTTGTTTACTGTCCTGTTGGACTTTGCTACTGTTGCTGGGGTGAGATGATATCTCATTGTTCCATTTATTTCTAAAAACAACACTAGCTAGAGATTTTTAGTATTTATCTGTTTGTGGGCCATCTGAATATCTTCTTTCATGAAGAATGTTTTCCTGTTTTCTGCAAAGTTAGTAACTGGGCTGTTTGTCTTTATCATGTTGAGGTGCAGGAGTTTAGATATGAGTATATATATGAATATTTTCTCCCAGTTTGTGGATTTTCTTTTTACCTTACTGTGGAAGTTTTGAGATGCACATAAGGATTTGATTTTTAGAAGGTCTCATTCATCTGTTTTATCCTTTCCTGGTTGTAGAGTTTTTTAGAGCTTCTAGGTTTGTTACTGTTTTTTTCTTGGAGGATCTGTGTAAGTTTTAGTTTTACTCCTAGGTACCTGATCACCTTGAGTTGTTTTCTGTGTATGGCTTGAAGTGTGAATCTTGTTTTAGTTTTCTGTGTATAGCTGTCAAATGTTGGCAGTTTCTTATAAACCTGGACATATGTTTGTCC